TTCCATTAATAAATCTCTGCCTTCAATATGATGTTCCGATGGCATATGAAAATGGAATTGAAAAAGATAATATGTTTCACTACCATCTTTCAAAGTTGCATCATAATTCAATGTTGGCTCAGCGATAGTACCCTTAAGGCGTTGAACTTGATAAGCATGACCATTATTTAAGAGAATTAATTCAGTTTCCTTGGCTACATTTAACTCAATTTTAGTAGAGTTAACAAAATCTTCAAGTTTCAGATCTATAGGGGTTTGTTGATTAATGCCAATGCCTTTACAGGTTTCGTTAACTTGATACCAGTAAGCAGGACCGTTGGAACCAAGATAACCCCATTCAAATTTTTCATCATTTCGTTTGTCTGGACTGAATACGTATGATGAGACAAATGATAAACTGATGATTAAAAAAGCAGGAATTATAAAGAATTTCATTTTTAATTATCGCAATAAGAAGGTTTAAAATTAAATGTAAATTTAAATTCCTCGATACTAAAAAAAAGGGCTTACACACAATTAAATAAAGATGGATGAGAGGCTTAAATAAAATTGCCGTGGCTCAATGTTCAACTTCAGAACTTTCTATCTATAGTCGATCAATTCATTAATAGTAAGCCGCACGGCTAAGTTTTAGACTTCGCAGAGATTACTAAACTCTTTAAATACAATTAGTGTTGGCGGATGTCAATTCGGATATCCGGGTAGTCATCTGCGCTCAAAAACAGCTATCCGGATAAGACATCTGTATCCATCCTGATATCTGTAAATATTACGGATCAGGATAATAATCAATTAGAATGCATTGACCAATAATTTTATTCTTATTACGGTAAATTAAAAAGTCTATATAATCATCCGGACATTATCCTGATGACCATCCAGAATATTTTTTGTTATCCAGATTCACCATCTGTGTGCAAAATTTGACATCCGAATATCCGTAGCATCCACGGATATCCGGATGTTTAACCAAACGGACCCCAACACTAATATTGAGAGTTTACTATATAAGAATGGTTTGTATCGTCAAACGTTACGACAATATCTTGAGTTATAACATAAGCCAAAGTTATGCCATATAACCGATATTATAACAAACGTCGGTTGTAGCTCTTTGACGTGTCGGTCACATCTTGAGTTACGACTAGGGCTGTTAATCGATCCGGTTCGGTCCGACGGTCCTTTGGTCCATCCAAAGACCGGGTCAATCCAGTCCTCTTTAGGATGGATCAATAGGACCATCAGTCCTAATAGTAAGGCGAGACCAATTTAATTCAGTGGTTTATGTTACATCCTACTCACAAAAAAAGAGGGGGGGGGGGGGG